AAGCTTAAGTTGCGGTCGGGGCTGGCCAAGCGCCACCGGCACTTGGGGCCACGCTGGTCAGGGCCGGTGCCAGAGAGAGAGCAAGGCGTGCCCTGCACCACCCTTAAATATGTGAATTCACAGGGGCGCTGATTGGCTTGGCCTTGGTCAGAGGTGGGTCTGACAAAGGCAAAGGGGGGGCTTTTTTTTCCACGTATCTTTTTAAAGGGCCGTCTCCATAGCCCTTCCCCTGTTACCAAAGACACAACCAAAAACCCCTCACAGAAAACCCAATACACTGTAGAAATGCAAAGGTTGCAAAGCACTCTCTAATTCGCTATTATAAGCACAGTTAAAAAAAAATAAAAGAATGGAGTGGTTTCATTGTTGTATTTCCATTCACAACCATTGCCTACATATATGCCACTCGTGATCCTTCTTTTCTTCCTTCTTTTTCTGCTGTAGAGTGAGTTTATTTTTAATATGTAGAGCTGCATGAAGGAAGATATGATGGTGTTCAGAACAAAGTCATATGTTGGTTTGTGGGCTGTACTGCTTGTTTTTTCTGATGCAGGAAAATGAGTTGCAGTATCAAAGTTAGCTGAATATTAGAAATTTGTTTTAAGATAAAGATTCTGACCTGTGGTGATAGTTATTTTATAACCAAAGCAGTATCACACACTATTCTTTTGATTCCAGACTCTATGACAATTTTAAAACGGGAACATTTGTTCTCTATAAGAGTACGTCTCGAGATTTTGAAGTTCATGTTCGCCAGTGGGACTGTGGAAGTCTTCACCACCCAGCATCCTGTAACTGTGGCTTTGTTGCCAAAGAAGGAAGTGATATAATTGCGTTTGACATGTGCAATGGTCAGCTACATGAGTCACAGCCACATATGTCTGTAATAAGTAGAGACACAACAGGAAGCAATGTCAGAATCACTGAGTCCTACCTAGGAAGAAAAGTAACAGTAAGTAGTGAAAAATTGCTTGTGGACGTAATAGTTATCTTAGTGATTACTTTTACAAGTTCGCACCAACTTCAGAACTAAAATGTGCTTTATTTTCTGTAATTAAAGCAATAGCATAAAGTTTATATTACATAGTCCTATGGCCAGTGAAGCCTATGAAGGATGTTGTCCTTAAAGCCAAAGAAGTGTCAACATGCGTACCTTTCTGGAACCACGTTGTCAGTCGCAGTATATAATGCCTGTGTGGATGGTGCATTTTTCTCATTCAAGATTCACTTATTTAACAGCCCTGATGTTTCAGAATGGGATCTTTGTGCTCTGTTTTGCTCATGCCAGTGTTATATAGGAAGGCTGTGCATGCAGATAATTAAGTATGCCAAATGGCATCCACAGAATTAGAAGTGTAGATGGTTTCTCTCAAGAATATGACCCTCAGATAAAACATTCACGGTTGTTTTTAGAATTTCCTGTATTTTTGTGTAGATAGATTTGCTGTAGGAATCCACTGAACTTGAAATGAAACAGAATGTAAAAATGAAACACCCGACTGCTCTTTAATTACTCTGTTGGTCTGGAAGGCAAGCCATAAGAAGATACGCCTTTTCAGCTTGGGTTTGGCTGTTGGTATAAGAATATTTTAAATATTTAGCTTTTATCTGAAGCACTTCATTTGAAGACTTCAGATATTAAATATTAAGACATTATTAGGCAATAGAGAAATTAAATTTCTCCCTTTTTAGAAGTAAGGATACTGAGGAAACAGAGAAATTAAGTGACTTTTTCAGATTTGTACAGCAAGTTAATAACAGAAACAGCATTTAAACTTGAAGTGGATTTTGTTCTTAAGGCTTGTAGTATTTCTTTCAAGAGATTGTAAAGATGCCTAAAATGAAATAGCTCAAAATAGTACCAAATATTTACTATCTAGAACATTTAGGATAAGCTTTGCAGGTAGAAATTAACTCTATAATAAGCTACTAAAACAGGGAAGCACGTAGCTGACAAAAAAGCAAGTTGAGAAAGATGCTGTCACAGAGTGTGTTCATACTACCAGAACCATGCCTTTTCACATGCTAACATCTGAAGAGTGAGCCGCCCATCTGATCTTTGATTTTCTGTGTTTTTGGGGACACTGACCTTCCACAATATACCTGCTAATGGTGGCTGAAGTTTATTGACCTATGGTGCACCATCCAGCTGTTCACTAGCCTTGAGATGTTTAAGGTTTTGTCTTCTTTTTTTTGTCTTCACAACAAGAAGAAATAATGACTGATAAAAAGTCTGATACAAAGTAATGAGAGCCAGAATTTAATGAGATGTCTTTATGTGCCTGGCCTTGCCTTGGTGTACTTTGCCACCAAACATACATGATTTTATTATGTAAAATGAAAGTCATGTTTCTCATTATGATATAATCAATCTCTTTTTAGGTTTTGTTTTCTTCTGGAGCTTTCATTCGTGCTGATGTGAGTGAATGGGGAATGAGCATCACGCTTAGGGCACCCAGTTCAGATTACAACCATACAATGGGACTCTGTGGCACCTTTGATGGAAGTGCAGATAATGACTATCACACTGCAAGTGGGGTGGAAATCCCAAACCATGCTGCTGTTCCTTTTTCTTTTATTAAGGAATGGAGGTAACAAAATACTTCTGTTTCATTCAAATGTCATAATTTTTGGTTCCACCTTTCCTTCATGCTCTTAAAAACTTGTGAAGATTATTTTTTTCAATATTTTGACAAGTTTTAAAGTTAATGTTAGGATGCCATCATTACATTCCAGAATTAATTTCAGAGAAAATTGAAGCTGAAGTGCCAAATTAGTATTTAAGTAGTATGGTGTACAATTAGTATCAAGGTATACAGAAATTAGTATCAAGTACAGAATTAGTATCAAGGTATACAGAAAATATCTACTCTTCTCCATTCTTCTATTGTAAATTACTCTCATGGTTTTGTGATTTAACTGGTCTTTAAATGTAACCGTGTGCTGTAAATTGTGCAATCTATGCTGTAGAAATATGAAAGAACAAAAACCAAAACAAATGTTAATGCTTTAGTATAACAATAGAAATAGTTCAGATACAGTTTCATCTTTTTCTTTCTTTCCTAGAATTTCACCAGGAGATAGCTTGTTTGACAAGACACCTGCTTCTTTAACATCTTCTAGGAAAACTGTCTTCTGTGACTGCATGCTTGAAGATGATGGATTATACCAATCAGTGAATAAGCTAGATACAGTCTCTAAGTCAGAACTTCCTCTGTATTGTAAAGAAAGTGAAAATGGTAGATTTCTTTCTTTGATACCAGGACTAGATGTCACCACTGAGTATCTTGGTCCTGTTGATTTTGTTGGAGGCTTAAAGAAACGTTCGTCTGCAAATGAAATGAATTCATCTACACTTCTGCAAAGGGAGGATAATCAACCTGAACTTCACAAAACATCACTAGTAAACATACATGTCTCTGCAACCTCAGTGGGAAATACTGGTGTAAAAAGAGAAGGAAATTCAAGCTCAAGCATTGGAAGAAATTCTCACCATTACAGAAGCCATCTTCACAAAAGTCAATCTGTTAGAAGCAGGAGGAAGCGCCAAAGTTATTATGAATACCATCCAGTATTTCTATTCCAAAGCCTTAGCCAAACAGACTTAGAGGGGTATAGCTATTTTTTCCCAGAGGATCATGCCGCTGACATGGACCAAAAGTTTCTTCCTTCTTGGCCCACACCTTCTGGCCTCACTGAGTCTAGCGCTTGGCTGCTGTGCCAGCAGGCAATAGCTAATTCCAGCATAGGAAGAACTTGTGGTGACCTTCTTGGTCGGCGAATAGAGGATGCAGTCAATATGTGCGTTAAAGATTTGCTGCTGAAAGATGACCGCAGTTGGGCAGAAGCTTCCATAGCTCTTCTGGAGAATGAATGTGAGAAGAGAGTTTTAGAACAAATAAATTACAACCAACAGGAACTCGAAGGGTCAGTTGAGAGCCTACTTAATGCGTTAAAGTGTCCCAGTCTCTGCAGTGGTAATGGAGAATGTACAGATTGGGGCTGTGCATGTTTTGAAGGCTACAGCTCATATGACTGCAGCATACTGTCTGGTAAGTGGAGGGGGAAAAATGAGATTTACTTAAATAATGTTCTTCATGTATGTGCAACATATGTTTATTTTGCTGCCTTTCTCTTCTGCTTTTGCACACTGTCAAGGGTTCCCTACAGTGGCCCTGTTTATTATCCAGCAATTTAGTGCCAATTCAATATAGCCATAATTGTTTTCTATTCAGCCTTCTTGTTTTCCAAGGACAAAACATGGGCTTAGTTTCTGGTATGTCAGTTTTAAAATATTCACTAGTTGGTGAGTTTCCAATCCAGAGTACTGCCCCGAGAGACTAGCAGTGTTTCCACACACTGTCTTCTTCAGGGAAGACCTGCCTTATCCATTCATTCCCTATTTTGTTTTATACTCTATGTGATCCTGTTTATTAACTCTAAGTGTGATGTTTTTCTCTTTGATGATGTTACATCTCTGTAAGCTAACTATTAGATAATGTAGAAAGAGAATTGATGGTGAAGAAATAAAAAGGTATAGCAAATAAAGCTGAGCAGATTGGTGGTGTTTGGTTTGTTAGTTTGTTTGGGGTTTTTTTCCCAGTAAATAAGACCTCCACTAAAAATGCAGTTAAGCAGGTACACTGAAAAAATATTGAAAGTACTAGAAAATTGAAAACCCTTTCAAAACAAAGCCTGTTAATATTTTGTTTTGCTGTGGTGTTTCTGTTTTAGTGATCTATTTGAAAACAAATGCAGAAAGAGTTAAAAGAATAATAAAATGAAATATTTTATTTCTCTTGAAATCAAACTGGTTTTGTTTCATAAAAAATATTTTGAGTGTTCTAATATTTGCCAGTTTATTTCCTGAAGTAACTTCCACTTGAGATGTTTCTGTTTAGTCTTTAAACAAAAAAATCCCATTATAAATTACTGCATAACTGTCACCTTTCCAGTTCCTATTGCTAGGGCCTGAATTTAATTTAGATTTTATTCTGCAAGAGTGATGTAAATAACCATAGGTGAGAAAATAGAACACATATTCACAGGTGTTTGTTATCAGATGAATAGTTTTTCTGTTCATAATATTCAAGTTCCAAGAGAAGACAAAAAGCCTAGCTTTAAAGCTAAGATTAATTTTAACTATTAAAAAATGTTTCTGTTTATGCCTTTCTTCAGCTGGCTCCGGATTTTATTGTTCATGTAGTTTGTTGGATAGACAAATAGATATATTGCTTAATATAAATGCATATGAATGAGTTGATGTACTGACATTCCTTGTCTAATCTCTACCTCAAAGACCTGCCTCCAGAAATTACGGAGCTGGAGAATGCTGGGCTGTGCGATATTCGACAGTATGACTGCACATCAGTGAGAGTTTTTGGACATGGCTTCAGGGAGTCATTGAATCTGAAATGTGAAATTATCAAATTACAGGTAGGTCTCCCTGAATAGTAACAATTATATTTTAAATTTGTCAGAGAATGAGGGAAAAAATCTCTAACATGTATTATTTGTTGATGTGGATACAGCCCAATGCTTTAGCAGAAGCTAAAAGCAAAGGCACTCAGCACTTTGCAGCAGACACTCAAGTATTTGCAAGATGTCCATTTCCTCCATGATAAGAGCAGTACAAAATGTAATGGGAATGTTCAGCAGCCGAGAAGGAGATAAGAGCCCATGGCAGCTATCCATCAGAAAAGGGCAAGGGCAGCCCTGTTAGGAACAACCAGTACATCGTCGTTCGGGTTTAAGTGCTTATTTAGAGGAATTGAAGTACCACTTCTTTGAAAAAGGACAGCAGGGTTAAAGACATTACTAGATTTCTGTCTCAAATCTAATGCTTGAAATAGCCCTTTTATAAACATAATAAATCTGTTACGAAAAGAGAAAGGGATTTTTGATGTGTTGTCCATTTCCCTGGGGTGGAATACTATGGCTATTTAATGATATATGTCAGCTCTATAGTCCAGGTTTGAATAGGAGGTTAAAAAATCTTGTACTGTAAACTAAGAGGAATCCATATAGAGAGACTGTTGTTGCTCAGACCTAGAATTTGCTGAAGGCAAATTTACAAGCTGTTTACAAGTGTTAGCCTGGAACAAACAATTGGCAATGACAAATTTTTATGTCACATCAGACACAAATAAAAATGCTTCATAGTAAAATTGTGTTTCATTGATGTGATGATGGTGGGGCAGGGGGGAGATGGTGAAAGGGGAGGCATTCAATGGGAAATTTTGTTCTTCAGACAAAAAAAAATAATTCCTTAGCTAACTCCAGCAGATGCTAAAATTATTTTGACAGATTAAGCAACGCTGGCTATAGATTTTTCTTAAACACAACATGTATCCACTCATCTGCAAATTGGCTTGAAATGATGAAGTTGAGAGTAAGTTTACAGTCCATTAGGTTAAAAGACTTTTAGACTGAGCTCACAGAGAGACAATTATTGGGAGTTCACTTATCACAGTTTGAAATGACTCAGTTTTAACTCATGGCAAGATATTCTGATACACTCTGTGTGGTGGTGTATTTGGCTCCTAACTACAAAAACTTTCTATTTAATCACTTTTATTGATGGTCTTCTCACTGGCAAGAGCCAGGTTGGAAAATGAACACTACTGCTGTTAACTGCAGTTGAGGAGGAAGCTGAGACTTTTTTCCTTGAGAATACAAAAGAAAGGATGTTTGGCTTTTTGTTTTGTTTTGCTTTGTTTCTTAGGACAGAGTAATAGTGGCTTTATGCATACGTCAATGGACTTGCAATAGTATAGACCGCCACATATTTTGATAATAAACTTAAAAACTTAAAATTAAGCTTAATATGTCATATAATAGGCATTTTGGGAGAATTTAGAGCTAATACATAATAAATTTCTTTTTTCTATTTTCACTTTTGAAAGGTTAAATGAAAACTCTTGTCCATAGGCTGTCCTACCATGTTAGAAAGGATGTAGGTCTCATGTATGATGCTAAAAAAGGTGATTCGGAGAATTCTGTATTGGAGTACCTTACAGAGGCAGGGCTGCTGTATGTCTCTTAATAGAGGTTTGAGTAGGATGTGGCCAAGGAATCTCTGATTACACAGATCCAGAATTTACTTAGATTTCTGTAAAGGATGAGATTGTGTATAACCTCCCCAGAACAAAAATACAGTTTTAGTTCCTTCTTATTTACATTGAACTGCAAAAGTAAGTTTTTCTGTGAACCTAATGAGCTATAATGCTGGTAGATCTGAAGATTCTTTTAATTGGTTTTTGAAAGGTTCATATGTTTCTGAAAAAATTATCTGAACTTGCCTCCAGCTAGTAACAAAAGGTTTCTGAAGAAATAGACTGCATCACATTTCAAAGGTTATGGTACTAAAAGTGCTCAAAATGACAGATTCAGAAATATTTAGCTGTTACACTTTTACTCACTCTTGCCATCAGTTTCTTAACTTGAGTATAGGGTGAAAGAAAAACAAGGTTTTTTTCTGTTTGTTTTATTTTTCTGCTTGAAAAAAAAATTAAATGCAAGGTCTTATCAGCAGATGACTGCCCATGTTAGGATCAGGATAGAATAAATGTCTCGACTGGCTCCAGTAACTGAAAAAATGTGCCAGCTCAGTAAAACCTAGTCAAGCTCAAAATGATTTTGATCTTGCTGTTCTCTTGATTCTTAGTCTGTCTCTATTCTTACTTCAATCTAACTTTATTTTCAGTATGCTTATCCCTGCTTCCACATCAATACTTAAATAGTATTATCATCCCTATTCTGTTACCCTGAACTCTCAAGATAGATCCTTGGATGACTTGTCGTCACTGCAGGTTACAAGAGAAGTCTACAGGGTTAATGTTGTAATCTATTGGCTTGTCCAAGGGTTTAATGGCTAAGTGCCAGTATTCCCCCAGCACCCAGAATGATACCTGAGCTCTGCCAAAACCACATCCGTTCCTCTGAATAAAGCTTGTACTCTTGTGGGAGCAGAGATGGAGAGGGATTGCGGCACTTACACATCAGATCAGTGCTGTTAGAGGATCACCCACTGCTTAAGCCTCCCATTACTCTCCAGATGGAAGAACTGTTGTCCTTGGCAATGCAGTGCCAAAGGGCCATGTGCCAGAAAAAACTTCTCTGCATTTTCTTCCACAGTAGCAGGCTTTGGTAGAAATCTATGTGTGCAAATAATGGCATTTAATATTTTCCACTGCATTCTGATCTAGAGACGTTAGACTTGTTCAAACGTTGTGCAATACAAGTTGGGTTTTTTATATTTTTATTTTTTTATACTTATATTTTTTAATATTCTCATAATGTATTTTGCTGAAAAACAAATTTTCTGTCTTAACATTTAGTATAGTGATAGCAAATGGATTCCTGGAGAACCTCTAACTATGCTGGCTGCCTTCCAAAATGCCAGGACTGTCGACTGCCAGTTACCAAATGATGGCCAACAGTCTGATGTCCTGGATCTGGTTGACGATAAACCCATTGCCAGGTGGCAAATAAAGGTACTAGCAGAAATTTAAAATATTCACTTACAGATATCTCTATTAAGATGAAAATTTGTTACATGGATATTATCCCTTTTCTAATGGTACTAAAGGTGGAACTCAGCTTTCTTAACTTGAGGTCTCAGTTTCATCACCTAAGGTTAAGTGTTGAGTGCCATTCGAGAGTGTTCTCCTGCAAGGGGACTGGTAGATAGGACCTACAGAGACACATGTTCTTCAAGAGTAGAAGTTAAAGACCAGGTAGTTACCCTAGAGCATTTCAAATTACATTAGACACTTTTACGGGAAAATTGAGTTGAGCCCAGTCTACACGTGAATTTCTGTGTGAGGCAGATGTCTGAGCTCTCATACAGATCGAGTCAATAAGGTCAATAAAGTCTACACACTATTCAGTTTACCTTAAAGTAGACACCTACACGTGCTTGCTCAAATATCTGCCTAGACTTATTGGCAGGATTGATTAGATTTCTGCTGACTAGTATGAGAGTTTTAAACAGCTAAATGTGTCTATCAATGAGGTGAAGCTTATGCTAACAGTCCACCCTGGTGATACATTGATACCTGTATGGGTTAATAAATTTTTACTGTACATCTTGCAGATTTCTAATGATGGATTAATTTATAGCAACTCTAGAACAATTATATTATATGATGGAGCCTGTCAGACATGTGAACCACAGGAATCAGGCTTATGTACGTTAAAGGTATGTATTTCATTACTCTCTGTGTTCATTATAAAAATACACTCTTTTCAGGTGAAAAAAAAAAGTAGAAAAATCATCAGACTGTACCATGTTCTCATTTCCACAGGGATTTTCCACGCACAGAAATGATGCACACAGAAAGAGAAGCTGGGATAAGGCAATTCTGAATTAAAAAAAAAAATCAAAACTTCATTTAATTAACAAATAAAAGCAAACTTGTTGTCCGTTGTTTAGATTTAAAAACAAACTTAGTTGTTTAGTGGAAGTGAAGAATAGATTAGATTTTGTTTGGCATTACAAATTCATTCAAATTAACTGTTTGATAACCAAATATTAATGAATCACATTGTCATCTCTCTAAAAGGAGAAAACATGCAACATAGATGGACTCTGTTATGGTGAAGGTGACACAAATCCAACCAGCCCTTGCTTACTCTGCAGACCTGACATATCAAAATTAACTTGGTCAGTTGTTGAAAGTAAGTTCTAAATAGTTTTGCGGGTTTTTTAATAGCAAGAAGTTGAAAAACTACTAAGTTTTTAAATTTATGGAAACAGTGAAGATTTTTGTTTAACTAGTTAAGTGTTTCATTTAAAGCTTAGTTCCTACTACTTTAGCTTGTAATTTGAAATTGGTTTTCATCTGACATGTCTGCTAATTTATGAAAATGATATTTTGTTTTCCAAACCTTACATATAAAAGTCAGGCTTTACTTTGAAATCTTTTAATATTTGTCAAATATTAAAATGCAGATGTTTGTCTTCAACATTTAGGAATAAAAGATATTTTTCAACAGATGACTCTGATACCAAAAAAGAGGAGAACACAAACTAAATTAAATAGCATGTTATATTGATTTGTCACTTAATATTTGGACATAATCCACATTGATGGCCTAAAGAAACACTTGGAAGCATATCCAAGGCTGTCATACTTCAGTCCAGTTAGAAACCACACCATGAAAAGAAGACCCAAGTCTAGATTCTTCATTTTCCTTCTCTATAGTATGAAGTTATAGCATAGAAATTGTAGCTATTTTGGCTCAAATCTTAAGTCTTTGGATGTACAAATCATATTGATCCCTTCACCAAATGGGACATCTCTTGTGGCTTTACTAGTGGCCGTTAGCCTGCTCCATCAACCCAAGCCCCCAACATCTCAAATACAAGTGTTCCATCAGTGTTTTCATCGGTGAATGTACTGGCAAGACTCTGCTTGGTCCTGTATGAGTGGGACTTCTGGTGCCTGTCTTGCTGAATCTTTTCCTAATTCAAATTTGTACTGAAATCCAAGGTAGCTATATCTATTCCAAAAGAATGAAATTTAGCTCACCCAGTAGTCAGGGAGTGAAGGGATTTCCATGTTACTGCCACAGACTGGAATTCAATACTGCCAAAGTCAGAAATGGGAGAAGAATGTAAACCAGAGGCAATTCACCAAAACCAAGGAGCACAACCTCTTCTCCAGAGTAGATGACATTAGGAATAGGGTGTCAGAACCTAACTGTTGAGACTGATCACAGCTTCTTTTCTTCTTCCTCCTTCTTTTCTGCCACAATGGGTGGTTTCCTGTGTGGAGCAGTCACTTGACTGTAATCCAAAATTTAGCAATCTTAATCACCTTCCTATATCCCAGGTTCAAAACCTACACTCTCTCCAGGGCTTCTGCTTCTCTCTTTTACAGAACTTGTCCTGGTGCTGGGGTTTTGTTTGTTTGTTTGTTTTCTCTTGCTGTCTCTAAAAATCTAGTTACTCCTGTCAAATAGGTTAGAGCTCAACAGTGCAGACATCTAAATAGACACAGACTTCCCAGTGGGTCAGTTGTTGTGTGACTGAAATCTTTCCTAGGAACAATGAGTGAATGACTTATTCCATCACCTCATGCTCAATTTTGCCAAGATAGTCGCTGCAGCCTAATCCCAAGTATTGCTTAACAATGTCTGTTTATTTGTTAAAGGAATCATCAGTCACCTCTGAGTTTTATGGCTCCTATCTTTTTCTCTCCTAACTATCTTTGCATAGTTAAAATACAGTGGTTAAATTCAAGAAATTCAGAGTTCTTTCTATATTTAGTTGCACTGCATCTTTACAAGCTCTAGCACAATTTCTTGGTTATGTTTTTACAGTTATAATGAAAATATCTAGTGTTTTTTCTGTGTAATTCAAATTACTTTAGAATTTAAGAGAAATAATTGCATGTGACTTTCTTAATAGAAAGATGTGCACCTTTTATAAGTATATTGTAACTTTTGCTTAAAAGAGGAATGTATCTCCTTTGTTGCAGACAACCAGCCTCCAGTGCTTGAAAATTCTCAGGTTATCCTACAGGCTTTTTATGGAGAAGATTTTGTATATCAGTTTTTGGCTTCAGATCCAGAGGGCTCTGCTATTCATTTCATATTGGATTCTGGTCCAGAAGGTGCCAGTCTTTCCCCATCAGGTCTCCTTTTGTGGAAAGCTGTGTCAATGAATCTCCATAAATTAACATTTTCTTTGACAGATGACTGCAATGCAAAGACCAAAGTAGAAATAGAGGTAATTAATATGACAGTAAAATGACACCTACTAATAAGACTTTTAAGATATCCAATTACAAAACTCATTGCTAGTTCATTAACAAAAAACTGTTCTATTGGGGATGTCTTGTAGGTCAGTGTAAAATCGTGTGATTGCCTAAATAATGGCTCATGTGTGACAAACATTAATTTCCCACCTGGAAGTGGAAGATATCTTTGTGTGTGTGTGGCTGGATTTGAAGGTGATCTCTGTCAGGTGAATACTGATGACTGTAAACTTAACCACTGTGGTACTGGCAGATGTGTGGATGGGATAAACAGCTATTACTGCGAATGTCCACCTGAACTTCAAGGTAAATTGCTACTTTATTTACACAAATCTACCACGTTTAGTAATAAATAGAAATTTCTAATTTTATGTCTACATTTTTTAAAAATTTTTGGCTGTAAATAACTTACTATTTGGGTGTGAAGAAATCTTATGGTCTTGTGGTAAAGTTATGTGATATACTTCAAGATTGTTCTTGCATGAATACAATGGTTGTTTATCTTATGAGAGCAAATTTCTATTGTTTTCTTCTACAGAGGTAAATTCGGCAACATGCTAAAACATAGGAGTAATGGGATTTGTTACAGTGTGATTCCTCCTATGCCTACAGATAAACATGTAGTCCCACAGCCCATATTCTACATACTCCACAATAAGCAAGATAATTTGGTATAAGATGAAAAAATGTGAATAGCATACCTAGTCAGCTGTACTTATTAGATGTACTGAAATACATTACACTTGATAGATGCCCTTTTTGTATTTCAACACCTGCATGCATTCTACTTTTATCTTTTATAAACACACTGTCAAAGTCTAGTGACACAATATTATAAGAAAAAAATAAATCTGTATTTCAATGCAGGTAAAAATTGTCAAGATGATGTAGATGAATGTATATCCAGTCCTTGCTTCCCTGGAGTATTTTGCTTCAATACTTTTGGTTCTTACTATTGTGGTCCATGCCCGAATAATCTGCAAGGAGATGGGAAGTCATGTTACGGTAAAATTATTCGTTTTTCAGAAGAATGCTATTATCTTATTGTCATTCAGATAAAATATCTTTGGTTGTGCTTCATATTTCTGACAGTAACTTAGAACTGTTTTCAGTAGTCAGTAAAACAGAACTGCATCTGTTGATGGCTGGGACAGAATCTCAGTCGATTACAATGTCAGACTGCACTGGCTTACATAGTTGTAAAACACTTTTTCAAATGACTAGAAAAAACAGATACAAAATACCCCAGTTCTTCTATATAAAAGTAGAGTACAATTAAAAGTATTCTTTTTCTGCATTATTTTCATAATATGAGCAATTATTGACAAAATATTTTTGACTTAGATTGCTTAACATAGAACTACTTACTCAAATCAAGGCACTTGCCAAATAAGGTGCCCAGACATTCATTTACAATGTACTGAATCACTTGTATTTTTAAAATACTCTATTGAAAGCTTTTAAGAAACAGTTTTTACTCTTTAGCTGCTATCTTAATTTTGAGTTGGTTTTATGTACTAAAACTTTAACTGTAATTTATTTGCAGTTGAAACAAAAGTAACCACTAAAGTGCTTTCACATCTTTTGTTTTTAGAAAGCTTTGAAGACACTAATGTTAAAAGAAAGGATTCCACAGGAGAAATTGGAGGGAATAAAGGTGATTTTTCATGGAGAAAATGGAATTTCTAATTCACATATTGATAAGAATATAGCTGGCAAATAAAGGTTCTAGACAGTTTTATGTTATTCATTTTAATTTTTCAGTTTGACTCAATTTAATTCATTGCTGGGGTTGTATTCTGATCTGAAAAATAAGACTGAAATGTCAATATCAACAAATCCCTTAGGTCAGTCGAGTAATTTTATTGACAGTGTGATGTATGACATTCTTACCACTGCCTTTTGTTTTTGTGACTAACCACTGACATAAAACAGGTGACAGGGGGATAGGGACATCTGTTATATGAGATAAGCAGAAGTTTATGGCATTCTGTTGAATGCCATTTTCCTACTTTAACTCAAAGGGAAGGTGAAGGATATGGCAAGTGAATGTCTTAATTCCAGAGCTCCATAAACGCTGTTGCTGGCATTTCCAGCTCCGTGCCTGCTGGGGCTTTTTTTGCAGGAAATCCTCATGTGGCTTTTCCCTTTATCTCTGCACTATCAGTGGGGGAGAAAAGTCTCGCACTCCACTGCCAGTGCTGGGTAGCTCTTCATTGGCTACAAAATGGTTTGGTTATCAGCAGTGGGAATAAGATTCTGTAAAGTTTAACCTTTTGTAGGCCATTTTTTAGTACCGTTCTAAATGAGGTTTGGGACAGAGCTAAAGTTAAGGTGGGTAATCTCCTCCAGTTTCATTCCTCCTCTGCCCTGTAATGCTAAAAGCCCCCATGCAGCATTTTGCCATTCTGGCAACATATTCCTCATATTCAGATTGAACCTCCTATGCTCCAGCTTGCACCCATTGCCCCTTGTCCTGTCATTGGCTGTCACTGAGAAGAGCCTGGCTCCTTCCTCCTGACACTCGCCCTTTAAAAATTTATAAACATTAATGAGGTCACCCCTCAGTCTCCTCTTCTCCAAGCTAAAGAGACCCAGCTCCCTCAGCCACTCCTCATAAAGGAAATGCTCCACTCCCTCAGTCATCTTTGTGGCTCTGCGCTGGACTCTTTCAAGCAACTCCCTGTCCTTCTTGAGCTGAGGGGACCAGAACTGAACACAATATTCCAGATGCTGTCTCACCAGGGCAGAGTAGAGGGGGGGAAGAACCTCTCTCGACCTACTGACCACAGCCCTTCTGATACACCCCAGGATGCCATTGGCCTTCTTGGCCACAAGGGCACAGTGCTGGCTCATGGTCATCCTGCTGTCCACCAACACCCCCAGGTCCTTTTCTCCTGTGCTGCTCCCCATCAGGTCAGTCCCTAACCTATGCTGATACACAGGGTTGTTCTTTCCTAGATGCAAGACTCTACACTTTCCCTTGTTGAATTTCAGCAAATTTCTCCCCACCCAACTCTTCAGCCTGTCCAGGTCTCCTGAATGGCAGCACAGCCTTCTGGAGTATCATTCACTCTGCAAACTTGCTGAGGGAGCACTCAATCCCCTCATCCAGATCACTGATAAAGACGTTAAACAGGACTGGCCCCAAAACAGAGCCCTGGGGAACACCGCTGTGACTGGTCGCCAACTGGATTTAGCTCCATTTGCAACAACTCTCTGTGCTCGGCCATCCAGCCAGTTTTTAACCCAGCAGAGCGTATGCCCGTCCAAGCCATGCCCAGCCAGCTTCTCCAGGAGGACACTGTGGGAGACAGTGTCAAAGGCCTTACTAAAGTCCAGGTAGACAACGTCCACAGCCTTCCCCTCATCCACCAAGCAGGTCACCTCGTCATAAAAGGAGATGAGATCAGTCCAGCAGGACCTGCCCTTCCTGAACCCATGCTGACTGGGCCTGATCGCTTGGTTGTCCTGCATGTGATGCGTGAAGGCACTCAGGATGAAATCATCATCCATCACCTCCATCACCTTCCCTGCCACCGAGGTCAGACTGACAGGTCTGCGGTTCCCCAGGTCTTCTTTCTGGCCCTGCTTGTAGATGGGTGTCACATTTGCAAGCCTCCAGTCAAGTGGGACCTCCCCAGTCAGCCAGGACTGTTGGTAAATGATGGAAAGTGGTTTAGCAAGCTCTTCTGCCAGCTCCCTCAGGATCCTGGGGTGGATCCTATCCGGCCCCATAGACTCATGCAGAAACCTTAGGAAAGTTGATGAAAAAGTTTGGAGAGCAAAACATAGTAATACTTTTGCTACAAGGTGGTGAATTTTTCACTTAAAATACCATCCATGGTGCATCAGTAATTATATGCATGTACGTACTTGTGATTAAATATCTGCTTTTAGACTCTAGGCTTATTAAACTGGTGAACCATAAGCAGAATAATTTTAAACTCTGTTTCAGTTATATAGTTGGTAGCAGTATATGGAGCTGGTAATTTGCTCTGACAGTAAAGCTGTTTGTTGACCCAGTATGGGAAAATCTCTGCTGTCTTCATCATATATATATGGTTATATCCTTATATACCTATCTTCCAGCCATGAAAAGTCCATTGTGAGGGTGAGAAAGGATGTAGCCAGAATACCTTGATCTTCTCCAGTTCTGCCAGTTAGGTTGGAAGGTTCTACTCCACATGTATATTCTGATTTAGCACGTGCAGAGACTTCCTGAAGCACAGAACGAACAGGCTGTATGTTTTTCTGTTCAGAAGACATTTCCCACCCTCAAAAGGAAAAAAAGTCTCGTAATATTACCGTACTCTTTCCCCCTGCTTTCTTTCTAATATGCTGTAGGTTTTCAACCATCATCCTTTGAGAAGGTTTTAAGCATTTCAAGCTATACTCGCAGTTCTACAGATGTCCCTGAGAGATTTATTTCTACAGAAATGGTCAGTAGCAGCACTCCACCAGCCTCCACAATAAAAACTATCACCACTTGGAAGTCACTTAATTCTCAGAGAAGTGCTTCTGTACAACCTGCTGTTACTGGAAACGTCGCTCATGTTCTCAGCACCATCAGTGGTCACCTTGCTAACATGGAAGAGAGTTCTTCAGTGGATGCTGTGGTGACTGCATCTTCAAGGAGCCATGCCGTATCACCTGAGCAGAAAACATGGGCACAAGTTGAGGCCTACAGCTCTTTTGAGACCAGCAGGAAGGCTTCTCCTAGCAGCAGAAGGAATACAAGCAAAGAGCTTGCTTTGTCAAGCAAAGTACTCAGAGGTGGAAATGCTCACAGAGTTCAGCACCTGTTAGCCAAGCATAAAGCAAGTCCTTTGCCTTTTGTCCTGGTTGAAGTCACTGTCCCACCAAAAATGCTTCCTGAAGAATTGAGTGAAACAGTGATTCCCAAAGCAGTAACCTGTACTGATTTACCCTGTTTTCCTGGGGTACCTTGTGAGCCGAGTCAGGATGGAAGCGTCAAGTGCGGTCGTTGTCCTTATGGTTATTATGGCAATGGCTTCACTTGCAGAGGTATTACAAATAACTGCACTAAATGCTTTGCAGAAATTAATCTTGTGACATTTTTATAACTTGAAAGTACATTGTTACTGTGTGATCAGTGACATGCATAGAGTATTGAATTTTCTCATTTTCATTATTAATATTGGCAGAGCCTACAGGCTTTTTGTTGTATGGGTGCACTTAAAAATATTATTCTGGTGTGGTTCAGGTTTTCCACTTACGGGCAGGGACCGAATGCATTCTGTGTGATCTGTTTATTATTTTAGGCAAGGCAGTTTTGCTGAAATGCCACTTTAATTTTGCTTATTCCTTTCTTTGTTTTCTCCATTGCCTTTCAGCAAGATGTAGACAAACATGTGGCAAAAATATGGAATGTGTGGCACCCAATATTTGCAAATGCAAGCCTGGTTACACCAGTTATAACTGTCAGGCTGGTGAGTATGGCATTGTGGGTAACTGTGGTAATTCATATCGACAAATTAATGATTTGAAGATCACTGTTCATTTTTTGCACAGCTTTATGCAGACCTGATTGCAAAAACCATGGGAAGTGCGTTAAGCCGAATGTCTGTGAATGTCTACCAGGATACAGTGGCTCTGCTTGTGAGCAAGGTAAATAGAATATTTTTCGCTTTTGAATCCATAAATACCCAAAGGATGCTGTAAATAACTTCCATGACTGTTCATTCTGACAGCAGAGATGTGTTCTTTAACAGAACTCTTTGAGTAACACATTGGCATATACCCTATTTTCTTGATATATACTGTGAATGTTGCTTGTGGTTGCATATTCCTAAATTTAGCATTCATAGTAAACGGAGGAGTTCACCAGTGAATGTAAATCTCTCTAATCTAAACACTCCCAAAGAGGGGAAAGTCCTGTCTGGAAATTGACTCAGATTTCTTTTCTTCAGGACGACCATCACTGCTGGGTCTCTGTGTACTCTGTTGGAATTAAGTTCTTCTTGTTACTTATTCTTGTCAAAAGGCATCGCATAAATCTCCTTATTTTATTTCCAGTTCTTTGCTCACTGTCAATTACAAACATTGTCTTTTTTCTAAAGCATAACCAATCCACGCATCTTTTTAGAGGCACTTTCTTGAACAACATAATTCTGTATCTGCAGCACATTGTAAACCACCCTGTCAAAATGGAGGCACATGCTTGGCCAGAAATCTCTGCACCTGCCCATATGGTTTTGTAGGACCAAGATGTGATACAAGTAAGCAAAAAAAGCAGAAGAATACAGAACATTTCTCCTGTTCTTCAGGAGCAAGACAGCAAATAATTGTTTAAATTTTCTATGTGCTCTGTCTAATGCTAGCCAACAACATAAAATTTGTGCCTCTTTGAAGGCTCCCATACTTGGACTTTTTGAAAATTAGTTGCATAGTATTTGCACATAAATTTGAAAACGTAACTATAAAAATTTTACAATTTATGATCCATGAATATGGAAACAATAAGCATGTTGCATATGTGATACCACCTTCAGAACAAACACTGATGTTTAATGCATCCCTACAGTTTTTTAACTTCTATCACCTTAAATTGGTTAAATGCTGGGGTACATCCAGAAGTTGGTATTGGTGAATGTTGGGTCAGAAAAACTGGGATACAGGAGAACTGAATTCAGAACCACATGGTGGGGTTGGTTTTTTTTGTTGTTGTTGGTGGTGGTTTGTTGGTTGGTTGGTTGGTTGTTTTTTCCATCTGGCATAAAAATTTGGAAAATTAGTCTCACATAAATTGTCTTTTACATATCGAATTCTACATGCTGCAATTTGGCAATTCCAAATATTGGGTAGATTTCATACTGGTAACTTTTAGTATTCAGAGAGTCTAAATTTAGACATGCTGTTTAGATACATTCACCTGAATGTGCCACTGCGTTATTGACCCCAGATTGAACAAGTCCTTTGTTCATCCCCTCCTCAAATCCCAGGACTCTTCATTCTCAGTTTTTCTTGTTCTAGTTTCAGTAGTGACACTAAAAAAAAATGCTGCTCTTTGTTAAGCAATACTAAAGAGAATGGGATGTTGTCCTGAAGAAGTGATTTATGGTTTTCCACAGTCATGATATTTTAATGTCTTTGCTTGTTAGTCTCGTGTCACTCCTTGTGTGCAGCTGCACTTGCTGAAGTGATGGACGACTCTTGAGTGAACTTTATTGGGGTCCATCAAATCCAACATGTAACATGTTTGTCTTTTAGTATTGCATTTCCTTTCTGTTCTTTAGAACTTATTTGAAATTTTCTAGATTTTTAACTCTGAATATAACCCAACGATGGGTAATTACACGGAAAGACATTTTATTTACCTTTCTAGTCTGGCGCTAGCTTTTTATGGCTTTGATACTGGATTGATCTATTCAGCTCTTCAACTAGTGGAATTGTGTGTTATTTCTAGTGTTAATATTTGGGAAAGAACTGAAAAATGAACCAAGCATAATTTGTAACATATTTCTTTCTCTCTCTTTGTCCTCCCACCCCCGTCTCCTCCCTCCACTTCTCTTTTGCTTTTCCCCAACTTCTTGGATGGTAGTGGTTTGCAACAGACACTGTGAAAATGGTGGCGAATGTCTTGCTCCAGACATCTGCCAGTGTAAACCTGGGTGGTATGGACCTACGTGCAGCACAGGTAACACCCCTGCAACATCCATGCTTCTGGGAGAGCATCTGCGGGACCTTCCATAGTTTGAAATTTGGAACAGCGTGGCTCAGACAGCAGCGTTGGGTGGCTGCTCACTGCCATACAGGTCCTGCACTCCCTCGTGTTCCTGCATTTTAGCAGTGCCTCTAGAAAGTCTAATACTGATCCTGAGATTTTGGGTAAAGACTTTGTGAATGGTGTTACCTGCAGTTATCTTAAGTGTTTAACTCCTGTCCCTGCAACAGAAGCATGTATTTTATAGACTTTATTTGGATGTCATGTCTTCCCACTCTCCCTGACCCTATTTCTGCAGCAATGTGTGACCCTGTGTGTCTCAACGGTGGTTCCTGTACTAAGCCAGATGTTTGTCTCTGCCCACATGGATTCTTTGGTGCCCAGTGTCAGAATGGTAATCTTGTTTTGTTTCCCCACCTCACTCCCCTTTTAGCTAACATAATGAGGACAACTGTCAGAAAAAATTGTTATATTAAGGCACAAAATTTACAGTCAAGTCACCTACCTGAGAAGTGGTGCAAAACAGAGATTACATTATTTTGTAGATGTTATGGCCAATTCAGTAAATATCCAAGGAAAATGGAGACTCAAATTTTGCTTTGTCTTTCATTCCACTTTTGAGCAGTTTTCAACCAGTTCCACTGTGTATTACGTAGCCTGGTTACTCCTGTACATGTACAGTTGCCAACCTTGACCCCTTCTCATCTGATTTTGTCTTTACTATTGATAGGCACCAATCCACATTAATACGATTTTTACAAGACAGGCCTGATAGTGCTGAATGTCTATATAAACGATCAGAATTGTAGCGTTGCACTCTTGTTTCCTAGAAGTATATCACTAAGTCAAACAAAATGCAAACTACAGCATTTTCCTCCTGTTTGTATCTTTTAGCTGTCTGCAGCCCACCTTGCAAGAATGGTGGTCATTGCATGAGAAATAATGTCTGTACTTGTCCTGATGGATACACGGGCAGAAGATGTGAAAAAAGTAAGCCAGTGTTAAAATAATTCCAAGATCTGAAAGTAACAAATAAATTACTCTGTAATTGGTTAAATATATTAAACGGAGATGGTTTTGATTTTAAGGTGTCTGTGAGCCGAGGTGCATGAATGGAGGAAGATGTGTAGGGCCAAACATTTGCTCTTGTTCTTCAGGATGGAGAGGAAAAAGATGTAACACTCGTAAGTATCTTGTATTTAAAGGGAGAACCATACCTTAAAAGTAATGCATGACTAAAGGACAACTCTGTCCACGCACATAATGTGAAGTTAGTGCCAAAGAACTCGAGAATATACACACAGGGAAAAAATAATGGTCTGCAACTTGGCAGAAAAATTTTGGATGGAGGACTCATACCATCCAGTTCTTAGGCTAAATAATGAGACCAAAGTATATTTTAAATTCCTGCAGAGCAAATAATATCTGTTTCTTTCTCAATTCTTGTCTAAGTGAGAAACATCTGTATTTCTGCAAAGAGCTGAGTCAATGAAGTGAAAGAATTTCTATTTGTGCTGTAGGACATAAAAGCAGATATAATAGAAAAAAAAGTGCAATGAAAGATTGAAAAACTGTGGAAACATAGTGGGAAATGATTGGAATAGAAAATGTAATAGGCACAGGCTCTTTAGGAAAGGTAGAAATAGGACTGTGATGGTAGCACAGCTGTGGGTCACACTGTATCTTAATGAAGATATTGATGGTGCATAAATAAAGTGTGACAGTGTGGATAAAAGCACAGTCTGCATGAAAATCAGCATGAGGATAGGTGGTAGAAATCCAATAGATAAAGTGTTAGTGTCTGTCATAGTACCCACCAGAGGCTCAGCTATTGATATGGCCGATGAGCTCTCTAATGGCATGGAGGAAAAACAATTTTCCCTCTATTACTTTCTGTAATTATTGGAAAGTTTTATTGAAAAAATATTACCCATATTGACTGGGGTGAGATATTCTTGGATGCTGTGGAAGGGAGATTTGATTATCAAATAGTCAGTTAACCAATGAGAAATAACAGTGATTTAGATATGGCTTAATAAGCAGGGATGGATGTGCATAAAAAAGGGTCATAGAAAATAACTTTGGATCAACTCTTCCTGAGTTGTTTTGCCATGTGTTAAATTACATGACAGACAAAAGAGCTTTTGTTAAGGTGTAGGTTTTAGAAATGTAAATTTGGAAAAAAACCAAAGCTATTTAGTGGTACTGACTTAATTCAGTATTCCAAGCTTTTGTAACAATCTGCGATGCACCAGGGTATCTCAGCGCATACTTTGGCTGTAGAGCTTTTTGTTTCTAGTTGCCTCTCTTCTTTAATATCCTGTTGATCTTTGACGGATTTTCAGTGAAGATGATGCAACTCTTGCGTATGGAAAGCACTCAACCTCTCGTGGGCATCCTGCAATGTAAATAATAAGTAACAGAAATCCCTTGGTATATAACCAAACTTTGTGATGATGTCTGTGCAGCAATCTGTCTTCAGGAATGTAGGAACGGCGGGGAGTGCATTGGACCGAGTACGTGCCATTGTCCTCCGCAGTGGGAAGGAATCCAGTGCCAAACACGTAAGAATGATGGGACCTGTAAACCTTTTGTATCAGCATGGTTCAGACTGCTTCAGCCATGCCTTGGTTGTATTCTAACTCAAATCTATGTCAAAGGCAGGATAAAGAGTAGAGCTTCCTCTGCCCGTTCTGAAGCCCTCCAGAAAATGATGGAGGGACCATGGCAGTATGCAGTGGTTTGTCCTAACACCATACGCTGCTACACAAGCCCTGAGAAGCCATTGCAATAGCTTGAAATAGTAGGATGCGTTAATAAAAAAACAACCTTACTCATGTCCTTAGCTTAGTCTTATACCTGCCCTCAGCATGTTCCTGTATTAAATCTGCATCAAAGCATAAGGGGGATGGGATAGGCGTAAGAACAGTTGCCTTCACATGATTGTGAAGTCTCCTTACACTGAGGGGTGTTTCCCTGTGAAAATAGCTACCAGGCTCTCAGCTCCTATAAGCAAGCAGAGTAAGTATGTAGAGATAGTAGCCACTTCCTTCATCAAGTTGTTTTTGTGAATAAAGCCACATATGTACCTCTCTTGTTTTAGCTGTGTGCCACCAGAAGTGTCTCTTTGGAGGCAAGTGTGCATTGCCTAATGTATGCTCTTGTCGTCCTGGTTACACTGGAGTCCTCTGTGGGAAGAAAATTCAGGTATGTGTAGAGTCAAGACACCATCACAGATACAGCAATTTGAGAGTCATTATCAAATCCACCCTTGTCCAAAGAAGCAGCATGGAATACACCAAGTGTGTTTGTCTTCTTTCTTTCAGTCTCCAGTGAAGCAAAATTAATAAAATTCCTAAAAACTATACCAGTAATTTACAGACTCTAATATTTACATAGTTGTTCTCAACATGTAAATTTCCTTTATTTCTAATTAAACTGATTATCTCTTGTCATGCCTTAAGTGGCTGTAGCAGGAACTGATAACTATCCTCTTCATAACCACTATTCGCTTTCCCAGCATCTGGCCCCATTTTAGACAGAAGTATCCCTGACTTGCATCAAGTCAAGCCTTGATCTTTTTAAACTAACTACAACGTCACTCAGTTCATCCCTGTTTTATACAAACATTCCTTATCCCCAAGTGTATTTTTGGGAATAGCTTTATTTTTTTAGTAAATTTTAGTGAATTACAACCATTTCTCTGTATAAAACTGCACATCCTATAAAGGTAAGACTGTAATGTTTGCAATAGAGATTTCCAAAATGTGACCTAAGAAGAAGAAATAATTTTTAATTAAATCTTTACATAAATATATCTTGCAAAGCATTAGTATATTTTTAATCTAGAAAATAAATTGCTGATCACACAGTGCTGTCTCATACACTGACCAAAATGGCACATTTTCTTAAAGAAACAAACAAGCCATATGCGCAACTTTAACTTAATGTGTTTCTGCATATCAGGAAAGCAGAGATTCATTACAGTTGACTCTTAAACTTTGTCAAAAAAATGGGCTACATCATTAAAGTCTTCTTTTACATTTATTTATTTTTCTCTCTAAGGTACAAAGGCATCATGGTTGAAGAAAACAAGTGTCAATTAAATTGCGGTGCTGCATGGATGTATGAGACTTGAAAATAGCAAGAGGCTTGAAGGCAATTACAGAGTTTATTTAAATGAAAGGAATATCCAGAAGCACTATTTTAAGAGATTTGTATTACACTCGTGAATTTCGGTGAGCTTCAAAACAGCAATCTTGTAGTCATTAAAACAGGTATATTTCTATAACATTTGCTACCTCATGCACAAACCCCACAGCCTCTGATTCATCACTGGCCTCACAGATTTGAGGAATGATGCAAACCCAAAACTCTGCAATGTGTGGATGTAGTCAACTGGACTATGAAACTTCCTCTGTGGGAACAAGACTGTGATAGCTGCTGAGTGTCTCTAGGAAAGATGGCAGCACTTCATCACTTGTGAAGGGTACCTTCTGTTTTTTAAACATGGTTTACATACATATTATTTGGTTGTGTGAAGAACAAAAAGCTGAACTTTTTTTTTCTCCTTTGCCCTGTATTTGCGCCAATCTGTTATAATGCCAGCTAATAGTGAGGATGGAGAGAGAACCTAAACCAAGGCTTGGCTACCAACAATGGAGATAAGGCCATGTGTCTTGTTAACAGTCAAGGAGATGCAGAATAATTCTGGTTTATCTATAGCAAGTGTTTTCAGTCAGGAGCCAGATCCCAACTCTTCTGTTGTGGCTTCATTACTTACACTCACAAAGCTGCTGAATTATTTCTGTTATCAGTAAGCCTCTTTTTTATGCCCCTCTTTTGAGATGGCATTCAGTAACAGGAACAAATTCTGTCCTTGAGTCTCTGAAAGAAATTTGACAATGCTTTTAGCCATGCTGAATCTTAAAATAGGAACTAATAAGAGGTGTAATTTGCTGTACACCATGCCATCCATATACACCAATATTGATGTATTTGTAAAAACATCATAGAGGAGTTCTTTCCATTACCTCTTGCTCCAAAGAACTGTTAGCACCTACCAGCTGCTAGATAGGTTTTGAACAAATAAAGTTCCAGTTTTTCTCAAGTTTCCCACAGAGGACCACTATATTCTTCCCCGAGAGCTACCAAAGACATTTCAGTTCCTGCCACAACCAATGGGCAATAGATACAAGCATCTCTTTAGCAAAGCCATTGAAGTTTACTGTTTTGGTTTTTTTTTAAACAAAGATAAACATCATGAGTTCCTGTTCTCCTGAGCACTATTCGATTTACATACACTAATTCTGAATGGGGAGAAAACAGCTCATTTTGCCATTTACTGCCACTGTGGGCTGCCGATTGCCAAATGATAGCTGTTAGCAGATCTGTGCCTACATTTATCCTCACCTTTTGATAGTCCTTTTAAACCATTTTGTGAAGTAAGCTGGCATTTTGAGAGCTCAATGTAATTTGAGAATGGTACCTGATGGATTTCCAAGTGCCTGACTGGTGTATTTAATAATATTTTCAATTTCCCACTTGCATTTTAAGTCTCAGTGTTTCCATAGTTTCTTTCATTCAAGCATCCAAGTGGCTGATCTGCTGGGAACAGCTGTATTATTTAAAACCTACTCCACTTGAACTGTCTCCTTGCTCACAAAGATCTCCATGGGCAAAACCTGAGTAGCTATTGGCACTGATGCCTCAGGACAATGCTTTGAATAGACAAGGTTCTGAAAGTGTTTTTAAAATACAAACACACCAATATCACATGATCTCATATTTTAATAACCCCATTCCATGTGTCAGTAACAGAGGAGGTGCGCTAAAGAGAGAGAACATCTGCCAGGAACATTGTTAATAGTACTTTGCTTAATGAGTTTGTGCAACCCTCCATTCACAAAACTGAATCAATGTATGTATGTGCCTTTCTAGGGCTTCAGGCTAAATAAAGGGGGATTTTTAATCATAACTTGTAGTATTTACCATGTATTTTCACAGGTTCTAAAGGCAGAAATGCTTGCTTTTACATTTTCCAAGTGCAAGCAAAAGCACAGCCAGAATTCTGCTACAGTCGTTTTCCAGCAAGCACATAATGCAGAAAAAATACTAGTACATGCAGAAAGCAAGCTACTTCAAAACTGCCCAGTAATGATGTGATCAGTTGAAATTATTTTGTTACTAGATTGTCCATCATACACATGAGACAGAATTCACTCTAATTGGAAAGCATATTGCACCAATGCAGTAGAATTGCTCAGGCCAGAAACATACTGAGGGCTTATGTACACCGGTTAACAAAATTGTTCTAAAATTGCACAATGGAGCCTGAAATTAGGCCCAAAAGAGTTTGGAGATTTGGAAGGCGGGAGAAAGGTTGCACATGGAGGAGTTGCCATGGTTCCAGTCTGACAGAACAAAGGGCAACTTGTGCCAAAGTGAAGATTTCACAGTGATTCTCAGCACAGTAGACAGAACACAGGTATCTCCACTGACTTTTCTTGCATTATTTCTTTGAATATCCCACAGTGCTGGGAGGTAGGTACCTATGTACATCATCCATTTGTTATCTGGTTGCACTAATGTTGCTCTGCAGGCCAGCAGAAATACCTCCAAATGCAGTTTGGCTTTTGCCCATAATCTAGAAAATATTTTTAAAACGCAACATAATGAATGTTTTCTGAAGGAAGGACTTGTATCACAGAAGATACCACAGATCTCAGCAAGGACTCAGTTTCCTACATTTGTATCCATGTTGACTGTCATTAAAACAAAACTAAACCATCAAACAAAAAAGTGGGCCCCACATCAGGTCATTTTACCCAACCTCCACCCACAGCTCAGTTTAGCCAGTAAAAGTTATTTTACAGATAAACCAAGTAACACCATTCTTGCCACAACTACTTACAGTAGAAAATACAAAAAATGTGCATGCAGGTAAATTAAAAAGAGCAAACACTTCTCACCTTTCCACATATGCTCTGAAAAGACAAATATCAAAAAACGCGACCAGTGCACTACCCCTACAATTTTCCAGTTGTTTTTGGTGAAAATCGGAGTATCTGTATAAGTAGTTACAGTTAGCGCTATTAAATAAGGGAGATAACCTGTTCTGTGTCCTTTTTGTTGACCTTTGAGCTGCATGCACCACTAGCTTCTCACAGGAAGACACATCTAGCTCCAAAAATTACATGCTGTAACTAGTATGGTCAATCCTTCAGTGAGTGCGAAACAAAAGACAACGGATACTGACAGCTCTTTTAGAAAATATATGAGGAACTGTGGAAATAATAATTTGCAGACCTAGATGGTCATTAATAATACATTCTGAGGCTGTTCTAGTTTAAAATAACTACTAGAAAATTCACTTTTAAATTCGTTTAAAATATTGCAGAGATTTAAATGACGTCTTTAAATAAAACAAAAATAAACAAAAACCACCCTGTAGCCAGCAGATGGTGCTACATTCAAGCAGTATTTCTGAAGTATGCCATCAGCCTGTGTGCCATCAAATTACTGCTTCCTTCAGTCATTTCTAAACAGGCAACTATTTAAATAAGCATTTATCCTGGCCTGCTCGGAAACACCAATTACAGCTCTCTTGCACTGACTGCTCCTGGTCTCATGCTCCTAACGATGCTAAACTCTCTTTTGGCTTCTAATCACCATTTTTGTCACTTTTGGCTTTATTAGTAGAAGTCAGTCTTTTCAGGAACAATACTGAGATATGATGCCTCTTGGCATCTACATACTTCTGCTTATGTACTCTGAAATCTTGGGTCTGAGGAAATTAATATTTTTTCCATTCACTTCCCTGCAACCAGTTGAGTCATTGCAGGTATCCAACTTAACTCCTGAATTTCTAAATTATGGTATGATTCTTGTAGTGAACTGACACAGAGAATTTCATCATCATAAAGCCTACTCTGGAACCACTGGTGAAATAATCTTGTTCCATGCATGAAAAACACGTTTTCCACCAGCATGTCTGAAATACCCAGTGTATCACAGCAAAAGCAACACAAAAAATATACACTTCTTACTCTATCCCCTGGCCCAGCACCAAAGCCCGCACAACGCATGTCCTTAGCAGGTTTCATCTGAACCAAGTGCAGCAGCCTCCAAAGCAAGGGCAGAGGGCAAATGGAATAAAATAATGCAAAGGCAAATAGATTAAAGTAACTCATGCTTAAAATTCTCCCACCAAAAATTCCAGTTTTACCTAGAAGACAATAAAAATCAATCTGTCTCCCAAAAAAACCTGATTTGGTCATCATTCAGAAATTTGACTGATTGAACGTCCATGTTTTGGCAAAACCTTCCTCAACTGTAGCATTCAAGAAAAGGCACAAATGAGACCTGAAACTATGAATGCAGGAGTCCCAGTCCCATCTGCAGCCCATTCAAAAGGCTGCAAAACCTAAATAAGGCCAAACTGGAACACGCCCAGAAAACCAACCTTAGCATCCTCCACACAAGTGACTTGTGACAGACATGGCTTTTCCTCATTGCCTGTCTGTAGTCTCCCATTATATTGCTCCTGTAACAACACAATCTTGAATAGGAATGACTCATCAATGCCTACAGCTCCAGAAGAGAGATGGAAGTTGGTCCCTTCCAAACCAAACCATTCTGTGATTCTATGAGATAAAGGCACTTCCCTACCTTACTGGGATAAGGAAAGGAAATAACTGTAGTCAGAGATGATCAGATAATATGACTGTAGAAGTAATCAAGATAAGGACTCTTTTAGGGTTAAGCTTTCAGAAAGTAACAGTGGAACTGCCTAAACAAGTACTGTGCTTTGGGTTTTTTTTAATACTGCTTAACTGATCAAGATCCAAATCTGATTGGGGGGGAGGGGCAGGAAGCATACATAAAGCGATAACCAGGATTTTAATAAGATGCTTTGCAGTTTGCTGATGTTCCAGAAAGATGCAAACTCTGCAAGTTTCCTCTTGCAACTGTGTAATCTTACTGAAGGTAAATTATACTTGAACTAACATCTACTTCTGACAATCTGAATTAAGGATGTTTTGTTTCATGTGCTTTTTAAAAACATATCATTATTATAACATGATAATTCCAGTCAAAGGGGAGAAAATCAAAAAGAGAAGCATCGATCTGTTCTGAAGTACTTTATTTGAAGAGTAAATTTTATTTCAATGTCAGCTGTTTTAACCAAGACATAATACCTCTGCTTACAAAGAAAAAATGAGTTCAGAACCCACTACACACACTTGGATACTTATAACAGCTTTGTTACAATCAACAATACTTTCCTTTCACATAGAAAAGCATTTACTTAGTACACTGAAGACAAAAAGCTATCTGAAATCAATTAGTTACCATGTTTGTTTTAAGGTCTCCCACTGCTGCAGACTTCATCTCCGTAATGCAGCTTATCTTTGCTTATGTTGCTTCATTCCTTCCTTTTCTTTGTACACTGCAGACCAGAGTACGGCAGTCGGCATCTGCACACGTTTGGAGCTATGCATTTTCCGCCATGTTGACAAGGCAGTTTACATACAGCTGAAATGAGACAGCAGATACATAGTACGTCCTCAGCACAACACAGGATCATTTTTCTTCTTTGTCTTCCTGTGCTAGCAGAATTGTTCCCTGGTGACTGCACTGGGACAGTATAAATAAAAGCATAATGGAGGAACTGAAAAGCAATGCTTCTCAATTTATGGCATTGCAGCCTTCACTGGAATACAGCCACAGTACATCTAGTCTTATTCATGCTTTATTCCCCTTTTTAAGTACTATCATTTCTGTTGTTCTTTAAGGCACGGACTACTTTTGAGATTGATGCCTTCATGAAAGAAAGGGAATAATAAAAATTCATGCTGAAAATTCTTCAGGCCAGCTCTTGGTTCCACATCCATGAGGATTCAGTTGCCACATACCAGCTGTTGCTCACACTCTACCCTTCTGCTCCACCACAGGAAGGGCAGAGGAGGACTGAGCGGGCACTGCTTTGGTTGTCCCCCAACTACACGTCAGTTCAGCTAACAAGCCAGGGGCTGCAATTTGCTTATGAGCATCTACACTAACAGAAGTCAAACTGGATGCAGATCTAGTTAGCTTGGGAACAGTGATTATTTTGACATGAAGAACATGAACACTTCTGCCATTAGTGCTGGTGCAGGGAATGGAGCATTTGTCAAGTTCTTTGCATCACCCATACTTACCTTTTAATATCATCCTCTATCTTGACATACTCATGAATACAAAGGATAAGCATTTTGCTGGTCAAATGGGAACATTAAAGTATAATTTGTTAATGTTTGCTTGACTGTGTATATTGCAGAAGAACCAATGCTATCTGATTGGATTCCCACAGCCACACAAAAGTTTCAAATGCAAAGGACTTATTCTGGATACCTTACACACACAATATCCAGTTCAAAAGCGATGTTTAAATGAGCTTTCTCTCTATCTCCCAGAGAGCAAACAAAAAACCTTTTCCTTTTTTTTTCAGTATTATTGCATTTAATATCAGGGCAGTGCTATTATGAGCATACAAGGCCCTTCCAGAGAAGGGTAGACTAAAGGTTTTACAATCATCATCTGTTTTTGTGAATCAAAATTACGGAAAATGCAAGTGGCTGCTCAGCAACAGTGTCAGTCAGTACTAATCCTGATTACAGCCAGCTTCCTCTTACTCTTTTAAGAGCACCTGGAGTTGATTCTGCGAACTTGGCCTCAAAGCGAGAAGCAAGTTTCAATTTTCCATGTCCATAAAATTTAACGAAGCCTCTAACCCACATCAGTAATGACAGTGTTTCTGTAATGGCCATTTTCAGTTCTTTATACTGGGGTCTCGGTTTATAGGAAATATTTCAGAAATACTGACAAGGCATACCCGGTAATGAATTTGGTGACAACCAAAATCTGAAGCTGAATTTACTTAAAGTGGAAAAGTTCTGCCTTTCTGACCAAATTGAAAAGCCAACTACTCCTTATGCATACTTGTAAGATCCCCAGCGTGCAGAAGCAGCTCTCATTTACTATTCCAAGGTACTTTCCTAGCAGCTTGGTTAGGCATTGAAGATTTGAACACTATATTGGTAAATCAAACAGGTACAGAAAAGGGTAAACGAAAAATGTCAGAAGTCATTTACCTAAGTGACATGCTCCACCGACCCATCCAGCTGGACAGCTACAAATCCCAGGAGCCACACAAGCTCCATTATTGCGACAACCTTGAGGACAAATTGCTAGAAGAAAAGAATGGGTAAGTCAGCAGGATTTATAAAACTGATATAAAAGAATCCTGACAGAATGAAAGATTCAGGATGATACAAATCAAAATGGCAAAACACATTTTCTTCCAGGCCAGATACTCAACTGGTGTAACATAAAGGCACTTCCAGGACCATGGAAATGAAAAAAAAAATACGTGCTGTGTTAAGTATTTTGGTTCAATGTTAAAAAATGTACACTTCAGTGCAAAATAATTTGACTCTATTTTATCTGAGTATGTACCAATAATGTAGGTCTTTATTTCCGTTGTAATGCAATGATATTTCTGTAGTTACTAGCCTCTTAATACTTTTAAAATGCTTTCGTTACTGCAGTTGTAATTGTAATCAGTGTAGATATTTTCATGAATGTAGATACCTACCTTCTTGGCATCTTGATCCTGTCCAGCCAGAGGCACAAAGGCACTTCACAACTCCATTGACAGAGATGCATTCCCCACCATTTCGACAACCTCCTTCACAGCTTACTGCGAAAGAATAGCATACGCAGTGCATTTCAGAAGCTGCACAGGACTTCAAATAATTATCTTTAAACAGCTGGACTACCATCAACTACTTGCTTTATCACATCTGCAAACACTAAAATTTCAACTATTCAGTGCAAAGCACAGTTCTATATGGAGTGAGTGAGGGTGACAGAATCATGTCTGCAAATGCCAATTCAAAGTGCAGTTAAAATTAAGCATATGCTTAAAAGCTTGTTGAGCATTTAGCCTGAGAATACCACCAAAAACACACGATTATCACTATGGCACAGCTTTTACTCTCCCCAGCTGTGAGCCAAATGTTCATCAGCTACACCACTGCTCATCAGCTATACCACAGTAACTACTGACATGCACATTTCTATCCATCTTGCCAAATCACAGCTTGTACACCAGTAATGTGGTCAAGGAGTCACGTATTTCCTTACCTGACAGGACCTACACATAACAAGAGGGGGAAGGGGACAGTACTTTGACAAATGAACCTGTGACTATAGCCAAGTTGAGTGGTCCCTTTCAAAAGGCCAACTCTCTAAGTCAGCCTCCTCATTGAGCCCTGAAGACCTCATTAATGAAGTATTATTTATGCCAGGCATATGATTGGTATCATCTGTAGTGTGCACCATCTTTGAAATCTGGCATAATCACTGTTCTGTACAAGTAAATACATCCTTTCACAAGCACTAATGTAACTGTATACACCAGCTTCACTGTACTGAAGAGAAAAAACTATGCTTCATTACAATGATGGACAGTTGGGATGTCTCCTTGATACTTGGCAGGAAAAAGGTCCAAATCTCTGTTCAACCACAGGTTTTGAGCATGATTTCAGCTAATGGATTTTTGGCACAAATGCTGAATGCGCAAGGACATGCAAGTCAACTCCAGCACAGCTAGAAAAGCTCTTCAAAGCCTGTTTGCATATTACTTTGTCACACAGTATAAGTTAATATATTTAATATTGGTTGTATTTGGTTGATCATGGTGACTAGGAGAAGTACCTGAAGACTCAAGGAAGGCAAATACCACTCCAGTCTTCAAGCAGGACAAGGAGTACCAAGAGAACAACAGGATGGTCAGCCTGACCTCAATCCCTGGTATGGTTAAGGAGCAGCTGATCCTGGAAACCCTTTCCAGGCACATTAAGGACAAGAAAATCATCAGGAATAGTCAGCATGCCTTCACAGTGAGGGAGACCAAGCACTGGCACAGGTTTCCCTGGAAACTTGTGAAGTCTCCATCCTTGGAGATATTCAAAAAACTGTCTGGACAGGGTCCTTGGCAACTGGCCCTAAAGCAGGGGGGGTGGACAAGATGACCTCCAGTGATCCCTCTCAACCTCAGCCATTCTGTGATTCTGTGTGATCCTGTAATAATAGCACATCGCACCACGCTCCAAGTTCATACTTCCAGGCTCCATATACCACAGTACTTAATGGTGAGCACAACCATGTGCTCTGCCTTACAGGGATAATACGGTAACAAATACAAGTAGGACTTTTAACCAGATACAACTCCAAGCCTAGACTGTAGTATTAACATAAACTGAATCTTCACTCTGCTTTTTCTATTTAAGTATTGCTTCTCACCTTGCTTCTGATTAAGGCTTTTCTGAAAATGTCAAGCTCCTCTTTCCTATGGGGTCCCTGTCAAGACCCCACAAACCTACACCTTCAGTCAGCTTTTAGGAAATAATAAAAAAAAAAATCCTTTTGCTGGAAAATGAAGCTGACCATGCTCCAGTGTAGCTCATTACTGTCAACACTGTTATGTCTACTCAAAATGGTTATTTCCCAATGCATTACACAACAGTACTGTGTTATAAAAATCCTCGTTAGAAGACACTTCCTCATATTTTTAATTCCTCTACAATGTTAACAATTTTGATATCAAATTGTTATCACTGGCAGTTGAATTCCCATTCAGTCTGGTTAACATCCTAGAGGTACAGTTTAAGCTTCTACAAACTTAGACAGATGTTACCATCAGTCAGGCATGCTCAGGTCATGCTTTCTTCATAAAATACCAAATACAGCTTTATTTAAAAATAAAACAAAAACAAACCCAGACCACCTAACACCACCACCTCAGAGAACTGCAGAAGCTAGCCAACTTCCCTCCCCAAGTACCAATTAGGTTATACTCCAAGTGAATTCTTGTAGCTTTTTCACATTTGGAAGAAAGAAAGAAAATGCCCGCAGAATAAACATCAAGCATAAATACAGAATCCTGTGATGTGTTGCTAGCTGCTGTAACCACAGTCAGACAGAATGCTTATTAAGTTCTCAGCACAGTGATGACTGCCCAAGTAATTTATCAGCATCTTTTCAAAAAGAGCTCCTAGAAATGTTTTAAGTGCCAGGCTGAGGCTCTTCCTCTGAAAGGAAAACAATGCTCTCCTTTCCTTCACTCTCTAGGGGTATCTTGCCTACTGTATCATTTTCCCCTCAAATGATTTCAAGTTTGCTTCCCCTTTTATTCAAGAACTCAAATTACCATCATAACAATGTTTTCTTGGATTGCCTTTTCCAATTAATGCATATATTCAATAAGCTTCATAAAAGCATAAAAATTGGTCTTTGCTTCTTCTCATCTGTCGTCTCCCATTATCTATCAACAATACATTGCCACACATATCTTCAGCAACTTGTACTCAATATTACCATTTTGCAGATACTACATAAAAGTTTCAACCACCTAACGCAGAAATATGTATCTATCAATACAAATAATCTCATTAAATTATTTAAAGTCTGTTATAAAGCTAAACAGAATATTTACATAACACATAAACAAGGTATTTTCCAAAGGAAAAAATTATCTCGGATTCTCACAACACATTTCAGTACATATACTCCACCCCACTCTCCTGCAAACATGCAGATCCTCTAGGCCACATCTTTTTTTCACAGCAAAGTCAGAAGTCTAAGGAATTAAGGTCATTATTTCAAAGTGCATTAGATCCTGGACTTGAGGAGTCCCAAATTAATTTTGTCTGTTTTCAAAATCCTTGTCTTTCCAAATTATTGCTTGTTTGGTTCTTACTCACCTTTATGACAGTATCTACCCCCATAGCCAGGTGGACATCTGCATTTTCCAGGTCTGAGGCACTCCCCACCATTTTTGCATTTTGGATAACACGTTGCTGTAAGATGGACAACAAAGTTTGGATAAATACTGGTAAAGCTTACCAAATTTACTTCTTAAGTCCATAAGAAATTTGCATTATTTTAGTTTCTGAGCATGCACTTTGTCTTCACATTTCCTAAGACACATTTGTCCTGCCATCCTACATTGCCAATCAGGTGAAATAGTTTTCCTGCACAGAGAGCCTTCCACTATTTTAAGCTTTTAAACACTCAAAACTAAGGAAGTCTTTGGACCCTAGATAGAAGAGGCAGAAGAAAGAGTCACATTAAAAAGGAATCAAAGGAACACAGTTGGGCTGCCAAAGAAGATTTTGATAACTGAAGTCAAGAAATGACAGGTGAGAAAAGAGGTGATAAGAAGAAAAGATTTAATAAAAAATGCTGCAACTTCAGGGGAATCTTCTGAATCTTAAGATGAAATATCAGACTTCACTTACTGGATTCCTACACACCTCCCTTACAAAACTACATGCTTATTTCCTCATATCTCTTCTCTAAAATGTCTCCAAACGTAAGTCAGCACCTTCTCCTCCACCCTCTTTTTCTGCCCCAGAGACCTTTCTGAAATGTACTTTTTGTTTATAAAATCACCTGAGAGAAATGTAACTTTTTTCATAAATGTAATTATCTGTTGGGAGAAAAACATATATGATTGTCATAGATTCTGCAACCTTTCCATTGATGACAACTTGGGCAGGTTGGATAAAGCGCAAATAAAAATCTTCATTTTGCAAAATTCTGGGTAAATCCAGTCAGACTGAAAACAAATTACTTATCATATAGCTCTCCTCGCTACTCATAAATCACTCCTGAATCAGCTCTGGTGCCTGAGAAAACATTTGTTTATTCACACACAGATTTTAGAAACCCGTGTGCTCCAGCGAGTCTCATCTGAATTAACTGCAGGCATGAGATGATTTCTCTACATCACATTGCTTTATGCTTTTCCTGGATAAGTGAGAAGTCTGAAACAGAGGGAAGAAAAGGGAAAAGGCGAGCAGTGAGTAACACCACACTGATTTTACCCTTACTGCACTCCCAAGCAATCCAACTGAAGAATAGAGAATTTTTCCCAGTATCTGCAGAACGAGTATTTGCATGCAAATAAAGGACACAGACACGTATGAAAGAACCATTCAGCCCTCAGCTCTGCGTAACTCTTTTACCAGATGCTTTCAGTTCATTGGAAATACCACGCAAGAACTCTCAATTTAAGAACAACTCTATTATTATGTTATTTCACATGTTTTTATAAAGTTTACCTATTTATGCTGAAAGGTACTAATATGGCAGTGGTATCTGGATGTCACTGTGAAGTCACATACACAGAGTCGGAGAGCAGCCCTGCTGTGAAGATCTAACACTTAAATTTGATACCACTTGCACAAAGGAAGCATGGCAAGTGGGAAGCACTGGCATGAAACAGAAAGAAGAAAACCAACAAACAAAACAAGAGAATAGCAATGAGATCCCAAAAGGTGAGCTGCACACATTATGCAGTACTGTGGTCCTATTCCACTGTTCTCAGCTGCTAACCCTTACCATTTGGACAGCTACATACTTCCCCAGGCAAAACATACATCTGCAGGAGAAAGATGAAGACAGCCTCTTTATCAGGCACATATCTTTTATCAAGCAGGGATTTCAACAAAGGGCAGGGGCTGTGTGAAAGAACTAAACATTGTCCTAAAATCCACCACCTCCAAACTGTACCACTTTTCCTTGTGCTTGTTCTACCCTTTGCCAAAACATCTGCAACTCCTCCTTGACTTTTAGGAATAAGCAAGACTGTATCTCCAGTTAATGGGGGGGATCTGACCTGCAACTTCCCAGCACAACGTGCTACCAGTGGCCTCACCAGAATAATAAGGGTTAAGCTGAAAGCATCGTGAATTATTTTACAATATATCTGTGTTCAGAGACCTCTTAGGATTGCTCACATGTATTAAGGTTGAGTCCACCAGATCTACTCTACGCTTGACTCATGTGTCATTGCGATCCCACTTTGAGCAACAAAGCTAAACAGGAAAACCTCTTTTCTAAGCAACCCACCCAACTAGAAAATAAAACGCCCTAGAAAAAGTCTTGCCCAACTTTTTCGTTCTGTTATATCCATGTTTTGCAATCCCACAGGCTAGGGTATTCCAAAATCCATACTGAACATAGTATCTCTGTATATAATTGGATCCATTCAACTTTTAACCACAAATTCAAACAAGTTTGAAGATCACCTACTTAAACAAGAGCAAATATAACTTTTTCCAGACTGCCTTTAATGGTTATGAAATTCACTTCACCTTTCGTTAATTACAGAACAGATTTTTCTCCTTCCCCTCTGAACCATCTCAATAGCCAGAAAAGGCATCACAAATACTTTTTTTAGCCCACTATCTCAAGAACATAAGACTTGAAGTAAAAAGCACAATGCAAAACTGAAAAACATACCTCCCCATAGTCAGACAGACATGTCTCACCCATCATTTGTATGTTTTTGGTGAGGGGAGGAGGAAAAACATTAACTTATCTCTGTGAGTTTTCTTGACAGAACAAGGGATGAAACTTCATTTTTTTCTGCACTGATGACCTTATCACAGCAAGCATTCAGTGGTTTCCTTAACAACACCAGACAGTTCACCTCTCTAGTTCAAAAACAGATCTACATCTCTGACAATCTTTCACATCTTCTCCAAACCCAAAAATCTCTAGGCTCCAACAGTTGTTTGGAACAGTGCATACTGCACAGTTATTCATCCTTAATATGCAGCACATTAGTTATACACCATTTGTCAGCACCTGCTAGCCTGAGCTTCTAAAAAAAACCAACGGTCCATGAATGATTACAGTGCTGAATTAAATTTTCAGCAACTCATTTCAGAGTTTAAAAAAAAAAAATCATGTTTTAGATCAAGGGCATTGAGAACTAAAGCAAATACTGTACAAATTAGATTATCTCTTCACAGAGGACAAGATGTAAGGCAAAAGAATTTCTCTTGATATGGAGCGCTATTTAGCAATGATTAGGCATAATGCTCTGTAGTTAAGCTTTTGAAGAAAGGAACTATAAATTGGGCATGTTACATTAAACAGGGTTTAAACTGAAACACTTCTTACCAGTGTTTACTTTACATATTGGGAGACATTTTCAAAAATGCTTTGTCTTCCCTGGGAAACCAACAGGAAGACTTCAGTCACCCTGGCTTTACACCTCCCATCATGGAAATGGGATGTACAAATGATTCTGTAGGCCAGGCTCAGAAAGCTGCCAAGCTTCTAAAAGCACCATTCCTTACTCAGGCAAGTATTTTGACCTGCACAGAGAAAATGACCAAAGGGAGCCAACGCAGACATCTGTCCAGCAAGTGGACATTCACCCAATGTTCAAATGGTGAAACGCACCTACTGACAAGACGGCCATGTCTGATGGCTGGGTCTGCTCCCCTACCTGAGTGTCTTCTCAAAGGAGCTGGCCCGTGGTTGTTGCTCTGTCAGTTTGCTGCCTCGCCTCACCAGAAACTGGGTGTCCCTACCCCTTTGCTTCCACCCCACTTTACCTGCACCCTCCACAGCACCTAACCGCCACCGCTGCCTCACACCACACGCAGACCCGAGCTTCCTGCATCTTTCCAGGGGGAAGTGTACTTGTACCAACCCTTGTATAGGCCAAGACGCGTCCCCAAGTGCTACCAGGTCCAGCCCCACAGCCACGGGCAGGCGCTGCACGGCGGAGCACCCCGCTGCCGGGCTTTCCGGGCGGCCTGGGACCGGGCGTGGCCCCACCTGCGGCGCTTCTCATCTTT